TGAGTAGTCAGAGCAGCTGTCCAGCATCCGATACCTCCTGGCAGGCAGGCCTGGCCAATCGTCTGTTGGTCTAGCTGCTAAAGGTGGGGGATGGTGGCTGCACACACACTACAGGCCTCCTGCTCTGGGCAAAGCTGGCATCTCCTCTGGGCACTGCTTGGCAGGTGCTGCGGCTGTGGTGGTCTTAGCGATGGAGGAGCAGCCCTGGGTGTCCATCACTGGTCTGGGCCATGAAAGACCAAGGTGCAGCTTCCTGGCTACTGGAGCATGAAGGCCCCAAATGCCAGAACCCTCTAGGAGGCCCCAGTCTTTTCATTTCCTTCTCCTTACCAGCTTTCCTGAGACAGGACTGTGTACAGATGCACACAAATACGAAGGGCTTAATAAGGCTCTATCACAATGTCAAAGTACCTGATTAATCATTTAAAATGTTTGAGCTGAGCAAGTAAGGGTTTCAGATTCCAGGATGGACTGAGGAATTGGAGCCTTTAGCTGAAAAGACCTCTGCTCACATTTCTTGCTGGGCATCTCTGCCTATGGCCTGGAGCCCCACTTGCCCACTGTGTGTCCAGATACCTGGTTTCTGAGTAGCCCATGTGAATGGCACCCTTGGGACTGCTGGCTGGTGTCTGGAGGCCTTGACTGCAGTGGACTAGTGCGTAGGCAGTTAGCACAGGGGGCTGCGTGCCTCCAAGTATCTTCCATTTGGCCTCTCTGCGTCTAGCCCAGAGGCAAGAAGGTGGGTGGGAGCCTCTACCAGAAGCTGCTCTGCACCCAAGACCTAAGACTTACCTGGGCCTTTCTGACCTAGCCTGGGGCTCTGGGTTACACGTGTGTGCACACACCCCTCCAGGCACATGCCCCCAACCCCCTTCACCACCACCACCACCACACACTCCTCTCCTTCGCCCTTGCATCCAGTGGCAAAGCTCTGAGTGCCTACCTCTCTGCTGACTGCCCCCTGACCACCTGGGCTGAGAACACTGATGGTGTCCAAGGGCTGCCCCGGGGCAAAAGAGACAAGCTGGCGAGGAGCCCCCTGGACCTGATCTTCAGCTCAGCTAGTTTTCTGAGAGTAGAGGCCCTTTAGTCCGTTCCTGTTTGGGGCCAGGGTGCAGGCTCCTGGGGCAGCAGCACATGGGAGGTTAGCCACTTGGCTGATGTACATGTAAGCCAATCCATAGGTCCTCTCTGCATCCATCAGAATTGAAGCCCAGGCCGGCTACAGGGGGCACTCGGTCTCCATGGAGGAGCTCAGTCTGAGCAGCCCTGCAGGCATCAGGACCCCTCTCCCATCTGGGCACTGACTGCGGCACCATCTGGAAGGCCAATGGTTGCTCCTCTCCCCACCTACTGCTCTTTTGACCCCTTCCTGTTTTTTCCCTTTTCAAGACTTTTATTTTGAAATAATTTTAGGCTTACAGAAAACTTGCACAGATAGATTTTGTATACTGTTCACCCAGCTTCCCCTAATGTTTAACATCTTACATAACCATGGTTCTGCCCCCTTGATGCCCTGCTTGCCAGCACAGGCAAGTTCCAGGAAGGCCCCTATGGCCTGGGTGTGGAACCTCTGAACTGGAATCATCTATGTCCCAGCTCCTGCTGGGTGACCGGCAACCAGGACTGCCAGTCCCCTGAAGCTTCAAGTATCAGGGAGGGCATCACAGCCCAGGACTCGGGTGGCACGGGCTGCATACTGGCTGGCCAGCCAGGCAGCTATAGGAGCTCCCAGGCAGATTCACCCATTGGGTGGTAGAGTAGGTGAGGAGCAGTGAGGCCTCAGGTGGGGTGGCATCTCTCCTGGGGCAGCCCAGGCTGAGTGCAGTGCCTCAGAGCCACAGGTAGCAGGGCGTCTAGGAAAACAGTTACAAAGTTGGCCATCACAGGGCCCCAAAATGGGTGCAGCCGGGAACTGAGGCCCTCCTCGGCACTTTCTCCTGGGTCACTCACCCCAGCTTTGGGTGATAGAAAACACAAGTCCCACCTACCTTCAGACCTGCCCACCCTCACCTCTCGGGCCTGGATCAAGCAAGCTATTTCTGTCTCAGGCAGGGGCAGGGGGCCCTTCTGCCCAGGGGCAGCAGGGCCAGTCCTCTGGCAGGAAAACAATAGGAAGGGTTCTTCAAGGGGGTTCACAGCCAGTTGTGTCCTTGGTTTCCTTGTCCGAAGCTGCCCATGCACGATCAGGGGAGGCTGGGGACTTGTGCTGGCCATCGGGGCAAATGGCAGAGATACTCTGCCTGGAGTTCTCCTGCTGTGCTGACCCCAGGGTCTGGGCTGCCTAGGCCTTCCGTCGGTGGTGTGGGCTCTGGCTGGTTAAAAGAGGTCTGTCCCAGAGGCCATTCGCTCCTGTACTCCTCATGGTCCCTTTTTCTTTCCAGTTGGGCCTGGACAAGACTGGCTTGCCAGAGGCCTCGGTTTAGATCCTGCCCCCGCCTCTGGCTGGTCACGTGTGCTTGAACAAGAGGCGTAACCTCTCTCAGCCTTGAGTTCCTTACCTGCATAACAGGAATGAGGGTAATATCTCAAAGTTATTGTTAGGATGATAAGCAGGTAATGAGCCTCACCAGTCCTCAGAATAAACGGGTTGTCTCCTCTTTGGCCGACTTCCCTGGTGGTGGACCGTGTCTCCCAGGCCCAAACAACTTCGCCTCTTTTGCTCAGTGAGGCCAAATGAAAGCAGGCTGAGATTAAACCTGTGCCACGAGAGGAGGAAAGGGCTGTGTCTGCGGAGGGGGCCGGTATGGTGGGAGAACTGGGAAAAGCTCATCACTAACCCAGCATTTCCTCACCGCTCTACCAGGCTCCAGAGAGAGAAGTTGCCAAGAGAGGAGATATAAAAATAGGCACCCAAAAATGGAACTGAAAGAAGACTGCCCCAGGACTGGTTCAATTTTTAGGACTCATGTATTCATGAACTTTCAAAAAGTTCAAAAATCCTCACTGCTTACAACTGAGTTTGATGATGGTTGTTGAGATTTTTCTTCAAAGTGGCCACAGATCCTCTGAAGCCAAAGCTGACCAGCAGCCATTTTTAAGTGTGTGCTTACGGGAAGAGAGGCTGATGCCGGCAGCAAGTCAGCTGGCGAGAGGGTGGCTGGGGTCCTTCCTGCCCTGTGCATTGTCTAGCCCTCAAGTCTCTTACAGAGCGCTGGGCCCTGACAGGGCTCAGGTTCCCGGCTCCGTTCTGAGGAAAAGCAGGAGTGCCAGGCTCCAGGCAGCCTTCCCGCTTGACCAGGTTTTCATCCTGCCTCCTGTTGCTTTGGGTGAAAGTTCAGAGGTTGGGCACATTCTTTTTGTGCTGCTGTGTATGAAAAACCAAGATTCTCGATTATTCTTTTAGGACCTAACTCCTTTTCAGAAGCTTTTAGTTACTCTCTGGCTGTTGGGAGACGGCTTAGCTGTATCTGAAGAAACTCCCTCCAGTTTCCCCACGGAGTACGGGGCACAGAACCGCCTGGTTTCTAAACCAAGTAAGGTCAGCCAGCTCTGGCCAGGCAGCTGGACCCTTCTTACTTTTCTCTGGCTGCCGTGGTGGGAGGCTACTGTGTCGGTTCCCTAGGGCCTGCCCCTGCGGGGATCAGCGTCCTCAAGAGGAGGAAGGCAAGTAGTGCGCAGCCGAGCCACACGCCTTCCACTCGTCATCTGCAGTGACGTGAGCAGGAAGGCTGCACCAGATCGGCCCCGTGGCTTTCAGCTGCCTCCCCCTCCCTCAGTGTGGAAGGCGCTGGCTCTGTAGAGCTGGGGGCTGTGACAGCGCATCCTCACCCTCTCTCCTCTTCCACCCTCTGCAGTGTATGTGGTGGAAGACCAAAGAAGGGATGACGTGGGCCCCTCCACCTGCCTCACAGCCTGCTGGACAGCTCTGTGTTGCTGCTGTCTCTGGGACATGCTCACCTGACTGGCCCAGCCTTCCTGTCCTGCCAGTCCTGCCGCCTGCTGCCTCTGACAAGACAGGTGGGCCTGCCCCATCTCTTCTGATTGCTGAAATAAATGACTAGCTCTGCGCAGACACAGTGGGATTCTAGATTAGCAGGGGCCGCTGCTGTTTAATTCAGTGACTTGATCTTTTAATGTTCAAAATCCATTTCATATTGGCCCTTCACAAATGTGCTAAATGACTTTTATTTTTTTGGCCAAAGGCTTAGTTATGAAATATATATTTATAATTTTTAAATTATACATTCAAGGTAATGGCATGGTATGACATACCACTGAATGATTTCTCTGCTAACACCCTGTAAGTTTCAATAAATGTGTCTAAACCTCAACTGTCTGAATTATTCCAGATAGAATCTAAGCCCTGGGTATCAGCTAGTGGCCACTATTCGGTACAGGATGAGGGGTATATTTACCTTTTCATTCTGGCTGCTACAAGAGCAGTGTGAGTGTATTAGGAAGGCAGGTTCCAGGGCCAGGTATCCTTCAGCGACGTCTTGGGGCCCTCACCAGGCGAGCCACCTCTCCCTAGTCCCACTCAGAGACGGGCTTGCCCCAGAGCTGTACCCACATTTCCCCAAAGCCTAGGAAAGGGCCTGGGACCCAGATCCACGGCTTTCTTGGCCTGCTGGCCCTTCATGACACCTCCCTTCCCGTGACACACCCACACAGCTGAGAAGAGCCAGCCCAGCACAAACTAGTCAGCCAGGCCACCCATCTCAGGTCCGGCCACAGGGTGGCGCTGGGCCGCCACAGCAAGTCCCACTTCCTTTCTCGGCTGGCCGCCCACCCTACCTCTGAAGCTGTGATGGTCCCTGAAAGACATATACCAGCCCCCTGTCTTCCAAAGACCAGAGCCATGATTTTGTAACATCACCTGTTTCTGTGGAGTAAATGGTCCCATAGCTGATTTCAAGCTACCGACGTGATATATTGAATGTGAAATTGGGAAGAAAAGCACAGGAGTGCACCGTTGTGTAGTATTTCTGCCACCCAGATACAACAGGCTGTTAACCTCAAAAACATAGATCACAGCCAGATTAGTAACTGGGAAGGGATAAGTTTTGAATATTTATTTTCCTCTTTTTTAATGTAGTTTCATTGTAAATTTTTAATATTGGCTGTGTTTAACTGGCTTGCAACAGAATTCCTGAGAACTGAATCGCTGGCTGCCCCAAGCCAGCCGCAGCACACCACTCCTCCTGCGCCTCGGGGAGGCCTGGCATCGCCTCAGCATCACAGGGCCGCCGCCCCCACCCCACCACCTCTTAACACCCGCCAAAGGGAGACCGCCCTGGGGTGCTGCTGACTCATTAGTGAACTTTGGGAGGAAGGGGGAAAGGAATCTCATTCAGATTGCCACCGAGGCACCTCGATCCTGTTCACCTAGGATTCAGCTAGGACCTGGTCTCCTCTCCTCATCTGCATACCACATGGAGGCTCAGAAGTTTGAGGGGATTACTTAAAGGAAGAGAAAGGGAAAAAAGAAGAGGGCAAGGTTCCGCTGCTGCAGGAGCAGGGCCACCGGCCCTGGAGAGGGAAGGGAGGTGCTGCAGAGACGGCCTCCGCCACAGAAACCTGTTCTAACCCCCCAGCTCAAGAGAAGCGGACTCAGCAGTGCGGGACGGAGGCCTTTTATTGGTCTGCCCAGCGTGACTAGTAGGCGGCTCAGCAGAGCTCCCCTGTGCATCCTGGCTCCCCTCCTCCCTCTCCTGGGTGTTCACGCCTGACCCCCAGGGGAGAGGAGTGACCTGGGCAGGGGTGGCCCGCAGAGCCAGGATAAAAAATACAGGGGCTTAGGGTGATGTAGAAAACAGTGTTACCAGACCGTCCAGAAAAAATGCCCATCAGAGCAGAGGTGGCTTCCCCGCACAGGCCCCTCTGCCCTTGCCGGGAGTAGGAGTGTCAAGGGGAGAAGCTTCCCGTGGAGGCCTCCTACTGTGCCCTTCGTGCCATAAGCATCTCTCGGATGTTGTCCTCAGCTTCTTTCACGCTCCGCTCCAGGTAGGACTTTTTCTGCTGCAATATGAAAAAGAAACAAGGGTTTCGGGGAATGGGCAGGCTGTCCAATGCAGCTTTCCTGCCCAGTGGTTATGGTTTCCCCTCTGACCAGTGATGACTTCCAGGAGCAGTGTCTGCTGGGAGCCAGGCACACACACCTGCCCAGGGTGCTCGCCCACCACACAGGGGAGGCCGGCTGGTGCAGGAAGCAGAAGTGCTCTGTGGAAGGCAGCCACACTCTTCCCCCAGAAGGAAGTCAACTCTAAAAACAGGCGTCTCAGTACATGAGGTTACACCAGACAGACAAAGGCCAGGAAATTCCAGGACAAAGCCCCAGCCCCATACAGACTGTCTCTCAAGGTTTTCCATGGCCCGGGCCAGGCGCCTGTGGCTGCCACTGCTGCACAATGGACAGTGTGGCCTCTGCTCTGTCCAGTGAGACGGGAGGCTGTGTGAGTGCTGAGAAGCTGTGTCACTCGTCCTACCGAGGCAGATGAGTCAAGATGAAGTCTGCTTTTCTAATGAGAGGCTGCCTGCCAGGAATCCAGGGGAGTGACACACCGAGTAAAACAGACCTTTTGGAAGCTTACCTCCTACCCCATCTGGGCCCTAAATTAAAAATCTCGACTTAGACAACGAACTTGAACTACTTTCAGGAGTCCCATCTGGACCAGGATTACACAGAATTAGTCAAAGGAAATGATGTCTGTGTATGATCTGCCCTGCGGTCACCCCAGAAGTATGGTGGCTCGCCACGGTTCCAGCCGGAGGACAGAGCTGTGGATTTGCACTTGAAATAAAGACCCCCTTTCGGAGGAGTGCTCAAAATAAGACCCCCGAGGGGGCAGTGACGGAGCCACGCTGAAGCCAGTGATGCGGAGGCCTGACCCCACAGCCCTGCCCTCCCCTCACCCTGGGCCCGAACAGGTGAGCAGCCAGGCCTGGCAGGCCTCACTGGGGAAGTGGGCCCCAACCACTGAAAGAGGAAAACTGAAATGAGTGTGCCTCCACTGCTCAAGGCCTTCCTTCACCATTACACCTCTGGTGCCCCTCTACATGTTCCCACTTCTGACTTCCCCACTTTCTGTCCAGATACTTGTTAAATGATACATTTAGAGACTTTTTCCTATAGGTCCCAAACTGTGGCATCCACAAGTCCTTCTCAGTTCTTGTGTGAATTTATGATTGTTTGTCTTCTCCAGACTTCAGAATTTCCAAAGGCTAGAGAAAGCTGTCTCTCTTTATTCCTCTCCCACCTGTCCAATTTGCACACAATTCCTTACAAAACAACAGGCGCTCCATAAAAACTCAGAGTGACCATGATAATTTGATGGCCACAAATGTATACTGTTTGCTAAGGAATTTTGTTTAACTACATTACTAAGCCTGATACAGTCCTATCATTGTGATATCAGAGTGGGAACTCAAACTTCCTTTGATAAACAACCCTAAGACTTTACTAGCGGTGAGTTAAAAAGAGGGAAACACTAATAACTCTTGACACACTACTGAAGAATGCACATGCACTGGGTGTTGCACAGAAGAGGAACAGCAACTAGACAGCAAGTGCCATGTACCATCTGGGCACCTTCCCAGCTCCGTGGGAACCTAAGGAAGTCAGCCAGCGCTCAGGAACCCAGGTCTGCTGCCCCAGCTGGCATCCCTGATGTTCCATAAGAGGGTTTCTATCTACTGCCCAGGTCTCTGGACAAGTGAATTCTGGTTGCAACTCTTTAAAATTCTTCATTCTAACTTCCACTTTCAGTTTCATGAGTTTTACCACTGCATATCCTAAAATCTTACAAGTTTCAAGAAATGGTGCAAAATGAACTTGTCTATCTTTACTATTTGTTTAAATAAACTTAGTGGACATTAAAAAAATTTTTATTTCATCCCAATACATGGGCATTGCTAGCACAGACGGACCCAGTTTTCATTCAGTGGCTGCCATCCCATCCTCAAAGCCATGTCTAAGCCCAGAAGAACCTTACAATCAAACCCAGACCAAAGCATCTGTTGTGGGTTGAATTGTATCTCTCAAAAAGATATACTGAAGTCCTAAACCCTGACTCCTGTGAATGTGACCTTATTTGGAAATAGGGTCTTTGCAGAGGTAACCAAGGGGAGATCATATTACGTTGGGGGGTCCTATGAGAAGGCCACGTGATGACAAAGGGACACACAGACACACCGAGTATGCCGTGTGTCAACTGACGGAGGCAGAGTGGACGGGTGCATCCATAAGCCCAGGAAGGCATCAGAAGCTGGGAAGGAGGAAGGAAGGATTCTCCCCACTGGACCCTTCAGAGGGGACATGGCCCTGCAACACCTTGATTTTGGGCATCTAGCCTCCAGAACTGTGAGAGAATGCATTTGTGTTGTTTTAAATCACCCAGTTTGTGGTAATTTGTTACTATGCAGTCCCAGAAAACCAACAGCATATGAAGGATGCCCCTAGAAAGAGAGTCTACCCCAAGGTTCTTCTTGGACCCAGAGCTTCTGACCACACTGAGCCCCAGGGGCCTTGATAAGGATTCTTAAAAGTCAGTACGCTGGGACTTGTACTTCTCCCTCCAAAAATTGTAGAATTAAAATGAGACTATCAGAGAGGGTAGAGAAAATTCAGGAACCGGTGATTAAGTCAAGCTACTTCTTCCTTGGCTCTCCGGTTTCCTAAAACTACTAGTCAAATGAGAGATTCTGTGGACCCCAGGGTTCCCCATTTCTGTAAAAGACAACTCCATTCTTGTGACTGCTCAAGATGAAAAATGTTGGCATTGTCCTTGAATCTTCTTTCCATCTAACATCCAATCAATCAACCGTCTCAAAATACATCCAGAATCTGACCTTAATGAACAGCCTCCTAAGGGTCTCCTTTCTTCTGCCCTTTGAGCCCTGCCAGTTTCTTCACATAGTGGCCGGAGTCACCTTTTCACACTTAAAACCCTCCAATGGTTCCCACCTCAGGGTAAGACAAAGGCTTTTCAAAAGCCAGTCTTGCTCTTGGCCGACTCTGAAGTCCCCTTGCGTGACTCGCTGCCCCTCGTCCAAGCCCAGCCACCCCAGCCTCTGAGCTGCTCCCCCGCCCCCCAGCCGCTTCTGCTCGGCCTCTGCCCTTCCCGGCTCTCTGGGGGGACTCCCTCCCCCAGGTGTCTGCAGGACCTGCTCCCTTGTTGCTCTTCTCAAATGCTACTGGGAAAAGGCCTTCCTGATGACACCGCAGAGCCCCACTCCCTAGGCTCCCCCTGACTTTCCTCCACAGCACCGCCAGAAGCAGTGTCCACCGTCTTCTTTACAAGAAGAAGAGGCCCAAGAGGGCAGGGCTTTGTCGTTTGCTGATACAGTTCCAGTGGCCAGAGAAAAGCCGGTACATAATAGGAACGCAATACCTATTGAACAAAAGTGCATCTATTGTGGAAAATGATGTCTTACTGATTCACCTATACACGCACTGCTCTGCGGGTCTCCCTGTCAACTCGAATGAGTGGGAGACACCCAGCAGAGGAAGCCAGGGCAGAAATGACCGTCTCCTTCGGAGTGGTTTTCAGCTTCGGGCACTGCCCTCTCACTCTGCCTCTGCATAGATACATGGGTTTAAAACTCAAACCTCCCTGAGGCCAGTGAGGACATCAAAGCTTTGCTCACACAAACACAACAGGCCCTAAGGGTCAAGCCCTTCCACATTATCAGGTCAACTGTAAAACTATATACCATCCGACTTTCCCCACGTCCTGGAATTGGAAATCCCGGAGAAACCGCTCCGTCCGTCCGATGTCAGCGGCAAGGCCACTGAGCCACCAGGGAACCACACCTGCCGTGTGAACTCCAGGGGGCGCTAAACCCACACCTTCCCCCAGGAACCCGGGAAGGCATTTGCCGGCCTCAGTGCAGCACCTTCTGTCTTGCTGGGCCATCACCCTCAGAACACTTTCCCCAGGAAATTCTCTAGTGGCATCCAACCACAGAGCCCTGGGTGCAGCGACATTCTTGCAGGGCCTTGTCCTGCCATGAAAGTCTGAGACTTCCTGCGGGGCTCAGCGTAGCCAAGGAAATGACAGTCAGTTATTGCTCATCAGCCTGAGCTGCTGCTTTCTGGGAGTCAGACTGACGGACTGTGTTTTATTCTCACCCTCTCATGAAGGAAAGAGGCTCACGTCCCTAGAACTTCTCTGACATGACACAATCTCTCAGACTCCTGAGGCAATTCATCTGTGACACTACCTCTTGAGATTTTTTTCTGTTCTTAGGAATTTTTTCTCCCTTCTTCTCTAAATTACTGTTTTTCCTGTTTGCCATTTCTTGGGGGTATGGGCAGAAATATGTATGTCTCACCCTCCATTTCCCCATTTGTAAAATGAAGATTTGGACAATACCAGTGTCCCCTCTCCTCCATTTTTCTTGAGTCACAGAACCTTTCTTCAAATGAACTCTTGTCTTATTAAAGACAAACCAAATAAGAAAGGTAAAATGGAGCTTGGGGAAGGGGGAAGACAGCCTGCTTCCAACCTAGGCTGCAGGGCAGCAGACACAGCAGTCTTGGTTCCCTTCTGCCCATGATATTCAGTGAGATCTGTGATCAAAGACCTGCTGTTTTGAGTCCCATGTTTCGGACCCTGACTTTGACCTGCCCTGGCCACATTTCCTCAGACCACACCAACTTCAAGCTCCACTGCGAATCAGAAACCAGAGACAAAACCAGAGACCTTCTGTCTGTCTCTCCCATAACTTCCAAATTAAAAACTCAAGAGCTTCACTCATTCTCATGCTCACTCAGTTTGTAGAACTGTAAAATGGCCAGAGGATGCCAGCTGCCCACAAGGGGAAGTTCAGCAAGAGGACAGGAACTCACTAAAGGCTGAGGAAGCATGTCTTGGCAGACAGGGAGTAAAATGTGAAGAAGGCAGGGAAACAAGACGAGGAAGAGAAGGAAAGCAAGGCAGTGAGGGCACAATCAGAGAAGCCAGGAGGGGAAATGCAGCCGGCATGGCCAGAGGGGGAGCGCGCGGAGCCTGAACGGG